GGAGGCAATTTTGGAGGTGGCGGAAGCTACAATGATTTTGGCAGTTACAACAATCAGTCTTCAAATTTTGGACCCATGAAGGGAGGAAACTTTGGAGGCAGAAGCTCTGGCCCCTATGGTGGTGGCGGCCAATACTTTGCCAAACCACGAAACCAAGGTATGGTATCTATGTAATTTGGGATAATATCAAAAGAGTTGTGTGTGTGTAGCTACTGCTGGGAAGGAAGCCCTTTAACTGGTGTCTGCAGTAATACATTGACAGTTTACAACCTTCAGAAAGTGATGATTTGATCACAAATTAGAAAAATCATGGGACCTTTTACCACCTCTCTTGTAGCAGGGGCCATTTTTAAATGATCAAACACTTGAAATTATTATTTACAGTGAATGTGAAAACATTACTATTACTGTTAGCACTTTGAAACGTTAAAAGAAAAATTATACTCCTCAGGTGGCTATGGTGGTTCCAGTAGCAGCAGTAGCTATGGCAGTGGCAGAAGATTTTAATTAGGTAAGTAAGCACCTTTTTGTGTGTTAACATAATTTTTTAAATTGCTGATGAACCCAATAACCCTAATGTAGCTGAGCAGTGCAACATAGTTAACATTATAATTGCAGTAAATTGTGGATATAAAGTTAATATTCAGATCAGCAAAATTTGTGGGAAACAAACTTGATATTGGATTGTAGCCTTGAGTCTTAATATGTTTAGATTAACAACTTTATTCCATATTGTTCAACAGGAAACAAAGCTTAGCAGGAGAGGAGAGCCAGAGAAGTGACAGGGAAGCTACAGGTTACAACAGATTTGTGAACTCAGCCAAGCACAGTGGTGGCAGGGCCTAGCTGCTACAAAGAAGACATGATTTAGACAAATACTCATGTGTATGGGCAAAAAACTCGAGGACTGTATTTGTGACTAATTGTATAACAGGTTATTTTAGTTTCTGTTCTGTGGAAAGTGTAAAGCATTCCAACAAGGGGTTTTAATGTAGATTTTTTTTCTTTTTCTTTTTCTTTTTCTTTTTTTTTTTTGCACCCATGCTGTTGATTGCTAAATGTAATAGTCTGATCGTGACGCTGAATAAATGTCTTTTTTTTTAATGTGCTGTGTAAAGTTAGTCTACTCTGAAGCCATCTTGGTAAATTTCCCCAACAGTGTGAAGTTAGAATTCCTTCAGGGTGATGCCAGCTTCTATTTGGAATTTATATACAACCTGCTTGGGTGGAGAAGCCATTGTCTTCAGAAACCTTGGTGTAGTTGAACTAATAGTTACTGTTGTGACCTGAAGTTCACGATTAAAAGGGATTATTACCCAAGCAAAATCATGGAATTACTGGTTATAAAGACGATTGTTGGCACATCCTATGCAATATATCTAAATTGAATAATGGTACCAGATAAAATTATAGATGGGAATGAAGCTTGTGTATCATCCATTATCATGTGTAATCAATAAACGATTTAATTCTCTTGAATGAAATGACAACTGTATGGATTTGGGACTGGCAGAGATTTGGACTTTTCCCTACCCACTGCCCCTGATAATGTTGAATGCCTCTATCATTCAAGTTCAAAGCTCTGCCAGGGAATAGAAACTAGCTGCTGGCTAATGCCGCTCCATAAATCCACAGATTTGAAGTGTTTGGGAGGCCTTTTAAAAATGACCAATATCAGAAATCATTTTAATGAACATAAAGATAGGCTTACATTAAAGGAAAACTGCAGTTTGTCTGGGTTCTGGTTGGGTGGGTCTTCAGAGGTTTTATAGGTCAACTATGTTAATTTGAAGATTAAAACAATAGTAATAGAAACTAAATATTCCTACATAATTTCATGTTAACTGCAGTTTCCCTTTATATGGCACAAGATCACACAACCTTCCTAAAATGTTAATTGTATAGAAAATGATTCTCAACCTTAACAGTTAATATCCAATAATGTGTTATTTGTACGTAGATTATTTTGAGCCTTTGGTGCTCTCAATTTCAGTGCTATTGTATCTAGTAGCATAGAGATTTGTTTATCAATAGGACTGTATATTCCATCCCATGGGTGTGTTGGAAATTTTGGGGAGGAGGGTGGAGGGAGGTGGGTGGGAGGTGGTGGTGGGTGGGAAAGCATGGGTGATAGTTCCATGATACTGGCTGAGTTTGCAATAGCAGGTGGAACCCTAACTATTGAGGGAGTTTGCAGATACCTCAGGATTCGTGACAATGCCTTTAAAGATCCAGGAGAGATGTTCAGCTACTAGGAACTGCTAGCAAGTATAGCGCGAATGGCTTCGAGCTCAGACACTCTACAGCTGAGAGTAGACACTTGTGGTATGTGGAGTACAGATAAGCCAGGGGCAGGCCACGGCACGCTCCATGAAAGCTAGGAGGGAGTGAAATTTCAGTGATCATCGCAAGGAAGGAGGCAGACAAGAGTAAGGCACACCTGACTCTTAGGACTAGCAGTCAGAACCAGGAGGAAAGGTTTTATTGCTATGCTGGTAGGTAAGAACAGATTTTACTTACATCCGTATAGTTACTTAAAGTCCAGTTTTCTGTTAAATATTTTTCTTAATATATTGAGCCAAAACTAGTCCAGTTAAGCTGAACTAGGTTTTTCTGGAGATGAATTGTTTTAAATTCACACCCTACCATTGGTGGCTCCCAGTTGAAGGAAGTGAGCACATTATTTCTACTGTGAATATAAATTTTTGCCCTTTTATTTATCTTCCTTTGACCCATTTCCTTAAAATAATGGCTCAAAGTAATAGACTCTTCCCCAAATGGTGGGAGGATGGGTGGGCTATTAATGGGAGGTATGGGGGGTTTAGCTTGAGCTGGGACTTGGTCTTCGAGCTAGTTCTAAAGGTTGTTTACTTTTCTAGGGGAGGAGTCTGCTACTAGTCTTATCAGCTCTTAAAAACAGAAACTCATCTGTCCAAGTTCATGGCAGAAAGGTAAGTTTTTACAAATTAGTGGTCAGCAGAAGAATGCCCTGCCTTCCCAATAGTAAAAACAGAATGACAAGCTGTACCTCAAACCAAAACATTTTATAATCTCTGATTGCAAAAATAGTTATTAGCACAACCAGATATTCCTATTAGTTACTGTGTAGTCATTCACCTCTGCTTATATAAATACTTTATCACTTCTTTTGCCTTTTGCAGGAACGTCCTTGTGAAGACCTTTATCTGAGCCACTGTACTTCATTGTCACTGCCATGCAGTTAACATGAGTTGTTCTGCAGCTCAAATTCCATTTTGTGAATGGGTTGTTTTGTTTTGTTTTTTTAATAAACTGTATTTAACTTAGTTCTGCTTGTTTTGTCCTCCATGATATGTATGGTAACATGTTAAAATTCAGGTTAGAGAGGATTCGGTTGTATATGCTTGGTTTTAATGTGAATTGCTATATTTATATTCATTCCATTCAGCTTCATGGTTTAATGAAAATAGCAGAGGGTTCTCACTGCAGGGGTAATTATTGGCTCAGTATAAGTAAACTTTGCTATTGATCCAATTGAGCATGTCCTTTTTCTAGCTCCCCTGGCAAGGGAAAATGAAGTTGTAGCACTGCCATTGAGCTCAGTAGGTCTCTGTTGGGACCTATGCTCACCATCTGCTCTAGAAGGGCATAATGGATTTCATCTTTGACAAACAAGTTGTGTTCATTGGCCAGCTATCTCACACTTCAGTGGAATTCTCAAGCCAGGAATAAGAAAATGAACTGAATGGGAGACAAGCCTTTCAAAGATAGCCTAAACATGTATGGGCAGCCGGGTGTGGTGGCTGACACCTGTAATTCCAGCACTTTGGGAGGCTGAGTGAGGTGGGCAGATCACAAGGTCAGGAGTTCAACACCATCCCAGGTACCACTGAAAGCACATCTTTTTTTTTTTTTAAACAACTTTTTACTATTGGGAAAAGTTATAACCACATCTCTACTAAAATACAAAAAAATTAGCCAGGCATGGTGGTAGATGCCTATAATCCCAGTTACTCAGGAGCTAAGGCAGGAGAATTGCTTCAACCTGGGAAGTTGCAGTGAGCCAAGATTGTGCCACTGCACTCCAGCCTGGGTCACAAAGCAAGACTCTGTCTCCAAAAAAAAAATGTATGGGCTATTTGGAATCAATAATTATACCCTCTAGCAAATGCTTAGGTTTTGTGTATATCTGTGTTTGGTTTGTTTTGAGAGGAAGTCTCCCTGTCACCCAGACTGGAGTGTGGTGGTGCTCTGCTCACTGCAACCTCTGCCTTGCCTCCCACATAGATGGGACTACAGGTGCACACGGCTAATTGTATTTTTAGTAGAGACGGCATTTCACCATGTTAGCCAGGCTGGTCTCAAACTCGACCTCAACAGATCTGCCCACTTGGCTTCTCAAAGTCCTGGATTATAGGCATGACCCACCGTACCTGGCCACATAAATTTTTCTATGCTATTTTTAAGGAAACTTGATCCAGCCTCAAAGTTTTGAACCTAGCTAAAGTGGGGGTAGAATTCTTGGGGAAATTTTGCCTCTTAACACCCATGCTGTTTTGAAATAACTATGTGGGACTAAGTTCCATCAGCCTTGTGATAGTTGGGGAAAGTAATGTCAGGGGGCTTAGTTTGTGACTTGGCATTTGCTAGAGGTTTCATTTTGGACAGTCATATTTTCTTGGAGGGAAAGGACAACTGAGGATAGTAAGTTTCCTAAAAGCATTCCTAATTGAAGAGAAACATTGTTTCATTCCATGTACTTTGCTACATACTTATACAGGATTGTGAAAAGTAAATTCCATGTTTCCTAAATGAAGAAATAGGCTCAAGATAAAATCCTGTCCCAAATTCCTGCAGCCAGTGGATCATATAACCCCAGATTGCTCTGTTTCCAAAACTGTTCCACCTTGTTGAGGTCAGTACACCAAACGTGTGTATGTATAGGATAGTCTTCCTCATGAGTGATTCTCATGAGAGTGGGAGATTCTGACATTCCTTAGGTGAACTAATACTTCTAAACAACTAGCTCAAGCCCCTGCCCTTTGCAACCTGAAATGTGGAAACATTGCCAGGCACAGCGGCTCATGCCTATAATCCCTGCACTTTGGGAGGCCGAGGTGGGAGGGTCACTTGAGGTCAGGAGTTTGAAATCAGCCTGGCCCACACGGTGAAAACCTGATTCTACTAAAAATGCAAAAATTAGCCTGGCGTGGTGGCAGGTGCCTGTAATCCCAGCTACTCAGGAGGCTGAGGCAAGAGAATCACTTGAACCCGGGAGGCAGAGGTTGCAGTAAGCTGAGATCGTGGTGCTGCACTCCAGCCTGGGTGATGGAGTGAAAGACACTGTCTCAAAAAAAAAAAAAAAAAAAAAAAAACTTAAATGTGGAAATATTGGATGGCTCATGCCTGTAATCCTAGCACTTTGTAAGGCTGAGGTGGGCAGATTGCTTGAGCCCAGGAGTTCAAGACCAGCCTGACTGACCATGGTAAAACCCTGTTCCTGTTAAAAATACAAATGTGGCTGGGCACAGTGGCTCACTCCTGTAATCCCAACACTTTGGGAGGCTGAGGCAGGTGGATCGCCTGAGGTCAGGAGTTCTAGACCAGCCTGATTAACATGGAGAAAACCCCTCTCTGCTAAAAATACAGAATTAGCTGGGCATGGTGGCCCATATCTAATCCCGGCTACTCGGGAAGCTGAAGCAGGAGACTCGCTTGAACCCAGAATGTAGAGGTTGCAGTGAGCCAAGATCACGCCATTGCACTCCAGCCTGGGCAACAAGAGCAAAACTCCATCTCAAAAATATAAGCCAGGCATGGTGGCATGTACCTTTAGTCCCAGTCACTCAGGAGGCTGAGGTGGGAGGATTGATTGAGCCTGGGTGGTTAAGGTTACAGTGGGCCGAGATCACCCCACTGCAAGCCTGGGAGACAGTGTGAGACCCCAAGTCTTTTTTTTTTTAGACAGTCTCACTCTTGTCACCCAGGCTGGAGTTGCAGGGGCAGTGGCTCAGATCCCGGCTCACTGCAACCCCCTGGGTTCAAGCAATTCTGCTTCAGCCTCCCAAGTAGCTGGGGCTACAGGTGCAAGCAACCACGCCTGGCTAATTTTTGTATTTTTAGTAGAGATAGGGTTTCACCATATTGACCAGGGTGGTCTCGAACTCCTGACCTCAGCTGATCCACCCACCTCACCTCCCAAAGTGCTGGGATTAGAGGCATGAGCCACTGTACCCAGCCCCATCTCTATTTTTTAAATGGTGGAAACTCTTTAACATTTTTTGTGCGAACATAAATTGACAAATTGGACATTTTCAAATCTGTTAGGAATAGGAAGATTTGAAGCCACCACTGAGTGTGGTGGCTCACGCCTATAATCCCAGCACTTTGGGAGGCAGAGATGGGCGGATCAAGTGAGGTCGGGAGTTCAAGACAACTTAACCAACATGGAGAAACCCCGTCTCTACTAAAAATACAAAATTAGCCAGGCATGGTGGCGCATGCCTGTAATCTCAGCTATTCGGGAGGCTGAGACAAGAGAATCACTTGAACCTGGGAGGCAGAGGTTTCGGTGAGCCCAGATCCAGCCATTGCACTCCAGCCTGGGCAGCAAAAGCGAAACTCCATCACAAAAAAAAAAAAAAAAAAGTAATAGAAAGCTTACTCCAGAGGCTGGAGTGGGAGGATCACTTGAGCCCAGGACTTCAAGGTTGCAGTGAGCCATGATTGTGCCACTGCACTTCAGACAGTGCAATAGAGCAAGACCCTATCTGTCTTTTTTTATTGTTTTTTTTTTTTGAGACGAGTCTTGCACTGTCACCCAGGCTGTAGTGCAGTGGCATGATCTCAGCTCACTAAAGTCTCCACCTCCTGGGTTCAAGCAATTCTTCTGCCTCAGCCTCCTGAGTAGCTGGGACTACAGGCATGTGCCACCACGCCCAGATAATTTTTTTGTATTTTTAGTAGAGACGGGGTTTCAACATGTCCGCCAGGATGGTCTCAATCTACTGACCTCGTGATCCGCCCACATCGGCCTTCCAAAGTGCTGGGATTACAGGCGTGAGCCATCATGCCCGGCCAAGACCCTGTCTTTTTAAAATAAGCTTTGGGTTGGGCACGGTGGATCACGCCTGTAATCCCAGCACTTTGGGAGGCTGAGGCAGGCAGATCATGAGGTCAGGAGATCAAGACCATCCTAGCTAACACGGAGAAACTCTGTTTCTACTGAAAAATTAATAAATAGCCGGGCGTGGTGGCATGCACCTGTAGTCCCATCTACTCGGGAGGCTGAAGCAGGAGAATCACTTGAACCCAGGAAGTGGAGGTTGCAGTGAGCTGAGATTGCACCATTGCACTCCAGCCTGGGCGACAGAGCGAGACTCCATCTCAAAAAAAAAAAAAAAAGGAAGCTTCAAGTTGCTTTCATTCCCAAACTTAGGCTAGAGACCATGTTCTTTATCTCCCTATCACTCTGCTGCTTTTAGGTCTCAGTATCTGTTGTCTGTTTTTGTTTGTTTGCTTGCTTGTTTGTTTGAGATAGTCTAGCTCTGCCGCTCAGGCTGGAGTACAGTGGCATGATCATGGCTCACTACTGCAGCCTCAAACTCCCAGGCTCAAGCAGTCCTCTCACCTCAGCTTCCAACATAGCTAGGACCACAGGCATGTGCCACTGCACCCACCAACTAATT